GGGGGTCTTTGTGGAAATTGTTAGTAGTTCCTTTCACCAAGATTTCCATTTCAGATTCACTAATATTTTTTTTCCACCATCATCAAAAAAACAACAACTCCAAACCTAAACAAAAAAACCCCCAACTTTGAGGGCACGATCTGTAACTGATGTGACGATCTGAGAGCCCACCCACACTCACTAGGACTGAAAGTAAAAGACTTTCCGCTCGACGCACAGCTTCGAGTATGCAAATGAGGAAATTTTCGCCCGCTCGCCTCTGATCTTCACAGCCGAGTGACGTCACACTGCTCCGTAGAACGGCGACGAGTGGAAATTTCCCTGATGTCATATTATTATCAAGGTCTAAGGGTCCAATCGAACGACCCAAGGGAGATAGTATTTGACATACATGTCACGGAGAGAAGAAGGAAGAACCGCGGTGGTGTCAGGCCCACACCCACACCCACACACACACACACACACATACACACACACACACACACACACACACACACACAGAGTTATCTGTTCAGTAGTACGTGTTTTAAGGCACTGGTTGCTCAATTAGGTCAATATATAAGTGCTGCAGATAAGAGGTGTTACAATATAGAAACAAAGATACACGTACACTAAAAAAGGGAGGAGAGATAAGGACGATAGATGTTTGATAGGAAGAAATGGAACAAATCACAGCAGAGCACCCGCCAACCACCCACTCCCTGTTATCAGGTCACGAAGACCTTCACATTTATTAATCGTTTGGCGAGAAGAAGCGAGATAGCCAACGGGAAAAAAAAAACAGGGAAAGAAAAGAAAAGAAATTATAGGACCTTCCTTCCAACCAGCAGCGCCCTCCAACTGCCACCTGTCAAACCCCGCTCTAACGGCCACCTGTCCAAGACAGCCGCCTGTACAAACGACCATTTTCTACCTCTACTTCACTACTGAGATTTTTCTAGATTTGCTTTTAGTAAGAGTTTTACGGCATTTGCAACGCAATACAGTCATATTTTTTAAAATATAAATGCCGAAGACTAGATGTGTTACAAGAGAGTAACAAACGTAAAAAAGAACGAGGAGAGATCAGGAAGTTAGATGTTTTTCGTTTTTGTAAGAGTTTTACGGCACTTGCAACACAATAAGGTCATATAAGTGTCGAAGATTAGAGATGTCACAAAGGAGTAACAAAGACAATAAAAAAAAGAAGAACGAGGGGAGATAAGGACGATAGATGTTTGATAGGAAAGAAGGAGCAAACCACACCAGAGCAATCAGCCACTTTTCGGTCTGTACTCCACTAAAAAAAAACGCGAACACAACACACTATCCATGACGCCTGATCAAAGTATCGACACACGCTGTAAACACATTAAACTGACACATAATTTGAAAAATATAGTATTTATGTGAGTGTGCTATTTAGACAAAATTCAAAATTTCCTACCAACGAAAAAGTATTAGGTGTGTCCCGCGCGCTCATATGATCTTATGCAGTTGCGAGCGCCGTACAACCCTATACTAAACAAACAACAACTATTTAGACAACACACAGGAAAAGGGGGAAACGTGTGTGGTGTGTCCCGCGCGCTCATATGACCTTATGCAGTTGCGAGCGCCGTAAAACCCTATACTAAACAAACAAACAAAACAAACAAATCTTACCAAA